GAGGTGCCGACCAGAACGACCATCGCGGCGTCCAGGTTTGGCATCGGCCACGGTATAGGCACCGTACAGGCATTGATGGACGACTGTCGATAGTCATCCGCAGATCGCCTGGGTCCTTCTTCGGCACAATCCGGGACACCGCATCCCACGTCGCCCGGTTTTTTCGGTAGACCAGTCCGGCGTCTTCGAGCTGGTCGACATGTCGCTTGAGGAACTACACGTGGTCAGGTGGATTGCGACGCATCGAGCACTTGACAGGGACTGCGTCTGGCTTCAGGCAAACCTGTAGAGGCTCCACCTTGATCGGGGGGTCGCACCCGACATCCTTTCGAAACACATCGACGAACCTGGACAGCAGGTTCTCGATGCGTTCAACCTCGTCCTGTCCCAGACCAAGGCTTCGCGCCTCCTCGACCTTCGACGCGAGGATAGCCTTCACCTCCGACTCGCATCTGCGTTGTCGGTCTTCCTTAGACTCTCCAGGTAGCGCATCCAGAACAGGGGTTGAGCATTCCATTCCCGCCTCGAGGTCAAAGTCCTGGACAGCTGGCACACACCCGATTGACAGCAACGTCTGCAGACGGCAGGAACTCGCTGTCAGACATGTCCCACTCTGGCTTGCGCGAGCGCGCGTTGACCAGGAGCGCGTCCGTTATGAATCCTAGGGATCAACGGACGGCTGAAAATCAGCGCGACGTCGTCGTCCGCGTCATCGTCGATCCAGACGGGTAAGCCACGCAACAGGAGAGGACCGCACGTCGTCGTGAGGGCCACGCTCAGGCGTAAGCGTCGGCTTAGGAGCACAGGCTTGGTCGCTTTGCCGTACGGGTACAGGGCAGGCGGTGTGTCGTCCACCACCACCTGGGTCACCACACCAGCCTTCTCCAGAGCTGCCACCAGCCCCACAGAAGGCACGTTGACCTTGGCACGCGTGTCAAGTAGCAGGTTGTCCACCATGACGACGTCCGCGACGGTGGCACCTCCTTCTATCTTCGACCAATTCGGGCCGAGATCGAATACATTAGCAGTCGGAAGCACCTCACGAGCATCCTTCCACTTTTGCATTTGCGCAGTTAGGAGGTCTTGCGCCTCACCTGGGGTAGTCTTTGGGCAGTCTGTGACCGTATGGGCCGTACACTTACACTTCAAACATACAGCCGGTTTTCTCGCAGGGGCGAGCGATGCATCCGGCCTGGCCACCCCGTCCAAGGTCCTTGGCTTCGCCGGGCCTGCTCCCCCGTCTAGCATCTTCCCGTCAGGCCTCTTCGGCGCATGGCCACGGCTGTCAGGGGCTTTTGCCGGCTTGGACGACTTCTCCTCGTCCTAGACCCTGCCGTACATTTGGTAGCCAGCTGCGACTGCAACGCAACAAGCCGTTGCGTACGGATGTGTTTCGCTTTGTTTGCTGGCTGCTGCCGACTGTAGCATCGAAGGCCACACCGCCTTGACCATAAGGTCCACGACAATCTTGCCTTCCTCGTAGAGGATCCACTCCTGGCATCTTGCTAACACGAGACTCGGCGGCGAGGATCTTTACGTCGAAAAGGATCGTCGTTTCGAGGCGTTTCTTCAGCGAGTCCAGATCACGAGGCTCTTCCTCGAACACCAAGTTAAACCACGCAATCCATTCGGACTCCGCGATTTGAACGTAGGTACCGTTAAAATCCCACAGCGCCACGCGCCGCTTGGCGAAATGGTCCATACTCGCGGACACCGGCATAACGAACGGTCTTGTTCGAGCTGTCTGCAGCGCGTTGACTTGCGCCACATATTTCTGGTACAACCGCATAAAAGCACGACGCTCTTGCTTGGTTGAGCCACTAAAGCTCGGGGCTTGGGGAATTGCCGGTGCATGTACCACATACGGGGCGTCTTCACCCATGTTATCGTCATCCTGGTCGCCATTACCGGCATCCGCCGGCTCTGGTCCAGCCGACGGACCAGGAGCGCTTCGTCC